GATAAATGGTAAGTATACTAGCGATGCTCACAAGCCTAAAAGGATTGGTCGTTGCTAACAACAATATGGCTACCTAACCTGGCATACGATTGGAGAAATTTTATTTGCTTTGTTCAAGTCACTATCTCAACATTAACTTTAAAAATATTAATTTCGCGAAAAATGGTTTTTCTGTGTAATTTAAGTTATTTTTAGATGAGAGTACTGTCTGTGCCAGGAACAAAATTTTAAGTTTGCTCCCGATAATGTAGACCAAACGTAAAAATTGGTCAGCTTTGAGCTTTGTAAAAATTTTAAGGCCGATGCTAGCCGGGAAAAGATACATATGCGCAATGGAGAGAAACTACGGCTTGCCATCGCGGCAATGTTTTCTATGGTACCGCGGTGTTTTCAACCGCAGAACCCTAGTCCTAACTCCAACCCTAACCATAATCCGAGCCCTAACCCTAATAGGTCACAGCGCACTAAGTAAAGACATTTCATCACCATTGAGAAAGAGGCTGGTTTGCTCTGTTGCTAGGCTATTTTTTTTTTTAATGGGTATTTCTTGTTTGTCTTTTTTTTTCACGTAATTAGGCTGATTAAGCTTAATTATCGGTCTTTCAGCCGGGCAATAGGATAATAGATATAAAAGCCCCCATACCACAATTTTGGAAATCAATGAGAGTTGGCCTTCTAAACTAACTAGGCTTTAGCTGACCTATTAATTACTATATTTACTTATTTAATTATGTATCGTGCTTTTAAATTTCACATAGGCCTAGCCTAATTAATTTTTTTTTAATTCACTTTTTTTTAGTCTTTGGCTTAAGCTTACATTACTATTAATTACTAATTAGTAAATAAGTATATGGAATAGAGATGCGTGTGCTGTAGCGGGCTCGCTGACAAAACAGCGCGAGCGAGCGAGCCCTCTACCGCGCGTGGCCCGTGACAATGTCTGGAATGCATTTTTCACACTCTAGGGCAGGGGTCTCCAAACTACGGCCCGCGGGCCGGATGCGGCCCGCGAGGTACTTTCATCCGGCCCGCGGAGATCTTTTTGTCCACGGGAAAAAAATGTTTGTTGGGGATGGCTAAGGAACTTTGCCCAGAAAATTCAAAACAATTTGAAAATGTAGCTTTGGGTGCAATTACTTTTGCCTGCCGTGTTGCAGACATTGGTGAAAACATTGTGACTCAAATAGCGAAAAATGCAAGCAAGCTTCGCCATTTTTCAATTGCAGTGGATGAGTCGCTGGACAGCTGTTCCGCCTCTTAACTGTTTGTGTTCATGAGAGGTGTGGATGAAGACATGAATACAACACAAGAGTTGGCTTCCCTACACAAGATATATATCACTGTTACCGGAGAGGATATATTCACTGAGTTAAAAAAAGATTTGCTGATTATAACTTGGACTGGACTAACCTCACTTACCGGACGTTTGATGGAGGAAAGTAAAATTTACTATATTTCACAGCAGTAAGATGGCTAATTTGCGAGAAAGTCCTGAGTAGAGTATCCAAACTTGTCATTTTTGGAACAAGTACAGGCCAACAACTTGACGCTTTCTCAGCAGTGCAAGGTCTTTACGACTGACACAACCACTGTGTTCCCCAAGTCATTTGTATGCGAGATCATCAAAGCCCTCCAGCTGCAGCTCCAGCAGCGGTTTTCTGACTTGGATTCTAAATCAGAAGAAGTGAGACTTTCAAAACCTATTTGAAGCAAATGTGGCCAGTTGCACAGATGAACTGCAGATGGAGGTCATTGAGTTGCAAGCAAATAAGCTCCTTAGAGACACGGGCGGGTGGGTTTTTATAAGTTTTTGCCCAAGGAAGACTTTCCTAATATTAAAACTTTTGCATCAAAATACTTTTCAAACTTTGGAACAACATACCTGTGTGAACAAACATTTTCAAGAATCAAATACGTGAAGAATAATTTGAGAGCAAACTTGGACCTCGAGTGTGTTCTTGGCCCCCGACAGTGTTTCTTTCAGACTTTTTTCTCCGGGGGGGGGGGGGAGAGACACTTGAAATTTGTATATATTTCTATATAAATTATATTTCGTTGGGGGGGGGGGATAGACGCTCTTTGGAGTGGGGGAGGGGGAGGGGGGAGAATACACCCCGAAGAGATGCCTTGAAGAAACTCTGGCCCCCGAACTGATATTTGATAGTCAATGCGGCCCTCGGGCTGAAAAGTTTGGAGACCCCTGCTCTAGGGTGATAAATTTTTAATGCGAAGACATTTTTAAAAGAAAAATCTATTAAATTTACAAAATATGTTATACTCCGTTAAGTAAATATTAATTTGGGGTTAGACCGAATAAATAATAAAAATTTGGTAACGAAATCAAATGTGCTGCACATTTAACATCAAACGGGCTGCCTTGTAGAGACTACAGTTCGCATCTTCAGACTGATCTGAGGTTGTCACGGAAAAAATTTTCCTGAACTGCCTTGGGTCGCAAATAAATTAAATTAATTAAGTAAGCTTCATATTATAGATCCATCAAACAAAGTATTTAATATATTAGATATTGATCTATATTTTTCATTGGTAATGTTTAAATGGAAAAATAATGAAATTTAAAATTTAGTGAGAATTGCTAAAGTATACCAAGTTACAAAACCTGCGATCTAACTTGTAATTCATACTTTCAGTTTAAAAAATTATAAAAACGATCATCAATGAAGAAAGCGTAAATATTTTATTTTTAGGTGTGACATAAAAAAAAACAGTCATAAATCTAGCCAACTGATTGGATTCTTGCGCGGCACACATTTTCCTGCGCCTCGTTTTCACCAAACAAGATTATAATAAAACGAGCCGACCCGCGGCGTATCATACGCCTCTATTTAGTTGTTTTATTTTCCACTTTTCAGTAATTCATAATTTGTGAATTCGACAGTACCAATGCTGCCACTGAAAATATTTGCTTTAAAACACTAACCCCCCCCCCCCCCTTTCCCTTAACCCCGACCCTACACCCCCCCCCCCATGAAAGCAGCCTCCTCTTAGTTATTTCTTAGTTACCTCCTGTAAGTTTAAAATCGAACTAAATTATCTGCCCCTAATAGAAACCCGGCTCTATGGCTCTACGATTTGTAAACATTTAGCTTTGTAAACATTTAGCGTGACCACAACTCACCAGACACTGTGGGGGTGTGGTGGGGGTAGTAGTGATAGTGATAGAGAGAAAGAGAGGGGACTGCAAGGAGGCGCTTGCAGCTTGTTTTCTAACGGCTTCCAGAAGAGAATTATATATAACGAGCCGACCCGCGGCGTATCATACGCCGCTATTTAGTTGTTTTATTTTCTACTTTTCAGTAATTCATAATTTATACCAATGCTGCCACTGAAAATATTTGCTTTAAAACACTAACCCCCCCCCCCCCCCTTTCCCCTAACCCCGACCCTACACCCCCCCCCCCCCCGTGAAAGCAGCCTCCTATTAGTTACCTCCTGTAAGTTTAAAATCGTTTCAAACTAAATTATCTGCCACTAATAGCCGTCACCAAACCCGTCTCTGCGATTGTAAAATGTAAACAGAGTGAACACCGCTCACCAGATCATGTGGGGTGGGGGTGGTAGTGATAGAGAGGAAGAGAGGGGACTGCAAAGGCGCGCTTGCAGCTTGTTTTCTAACTGATCCCAGAAGAGAATTATATATATAGATAGATTATACGAAGTGTCTACTCGGAAGAAGATTTTTCTCCCCAACGTCTCCACTTAGTCGGCAAAAGATAGCTCTGCGCATACGCAGTGACCTATGGCTAGGGTTAGGGCTAGAATGAGGGTTAGGGGTAGGATTAGGGATAGGGTTAGGAATAGGATTAGGGCTAGGGTTAGGGATAGGATTAGGGTAAGGATAGGATTAGGGTTGGTGTTACGGTTCTGCGGTTGTAAACACACGCATGCGAAGTACCATCGAAAACATCGCCGCTAAGGCAAGTCATAGTTTCTCTCCATTGCGCATGCGTATCGCATGCGTATCTTATTCCGGCTAGAATCTGCCATAATTATATTATATATAGATGGCATTATTGGGGGGGGGGGGTGATTGTTTTCCCACGAACACATCTCATAAACCCCATAAATTATTACGAGTTAATTGTAATGTGTGTAAAATTGATACTTTTAAGTTTCATATCCACATGGTCTGGTTTGCTAAGAAAGCGTTATTTTAGTTTAGAGTTATTTGATTTGAAAGACAAGAATACATACATAGAACTATGCGTCGCTTGCGAGACAAAGAAACTAGATTCTAGGTCAAAAGAACATCTGACAATTCTTAAATAACAGACTGAAATAGAAACGGATAGTTCCGATTTCTAAAATTAACGATGGCCTTGTAATCGTTAGTTTTATCCCTCTACCGTTTAGTGAAAGCGAAACTGGTCGCCATTAGCCGTGAGATGCCACGAACATTACAAACCCGGAAGCGCTGAATCGAACGGCCAGGTAATACTTTACCCAACTTAAAATGTAAATGTTCAAAAGTAAACACACAGATCTTTAACTAAACTAACACTTGGTAAAACACTAAATTAATCAACACAACCTACACTCTATGAAAATAAGATACAGAAAAAACTAAATACACTGGAACTTTGAGATAATTAGTAATTACTGCTAAAAATCTAGAAAGTACAACATGGACGACTTGGCTCTCTCTCTCTCTCTCTCTCTCTCTCTGTGCAGGGATGTGACCAGACCAGGAAAAAATATTCGGAAATTTTCTTCAGACAAGAACTCAATGTTTAATCTTTTTTTTTTGTCGCAGTTAAAACTGTCTCACACCATTACTGTACTAATTGAATGTTTAATGAAGCTAATATTTTAAATAAAAGAAGTTTGTTACTCTTACACTCTAAAATAACAATGAAAGTCTTGTCGCAATAATTAAGAACGAAGAAGAAGAAGTTTAAAACGAAATAAAAACTTCGGATGATTATAGACCCTAGATACCAGTATCTGATAATGATCTTCTTTAAAAAAGGGGTGTTTGGTTGTTAGTTAGGAATGTTGGGATATTTTTCCTAATTACCATAGAATTATAAAATGTACACAGATTAATCCTATAATATACCCCATTGATAAAAATACCAAATTTATCATTCTAGGCCTAATAGTTTATTTTATATGAATTTTTAAAGTTATGTATGTATTAAACTTGGGTAATCTATCGTTTTGGGTACGTAAAATCGCCCGCGATTTGTAATGTGAAAAACAGGTGACTCCTTAAATTTTAATAATTATTTCACATTTTGAGGAGGATTTATGTTTTTAAAAATTCAAAAATGTTTCCTTGATTCATTTATGTACCTGTTTTTAAACAATTGAATTAAAACTTTTCCGTAATAAATGAAGACTAGCGATGTTTCCAACAGATGCAACCATGCTCATTTACTATAGCAGCCATCTTGTCTAAGTTTTATTTTTATAAGCTTTTAGCGCCAGATTCAGGGGGAAGCCACTCTATTTTACAAATGGCTGCTGTTTATATAGCAAATCTTGCTCTCAGACACTGCTGTTTAAAGTTAATTTCTGGCCTATATCGATATATTTAGCCATTGATTTAGGTTTATTATTCATTTATCTATAATATTTGACACAAAAGTATGACAATATACTTCTATTAAAGCCTTGACAACGAGGTAACGTTTTCGTACATAAATAGCCGCGGGCGATTTTACTTACCCAAAACGATAGATTACCTAAACTTGTTATATATCACTGTAACATCGGATTTAATTGTGTGATTGGCTTTAGGCTTGCATACCACTGCTGCTATTTGAGATAAAATTATAAAACTTTGCACGCTAGTGCTAGAGAGTGTGGGCAATAGAAATATGAAAGTAAAATCAAAATTTGATGAAGGATAATTAGAACTAATCAGGTCAAATTAAAGTGAGGTGTGCTGTTCTATATAGGTCAATATGCAGACTGAAAGTCTATTTTTTTTTTAAATATTAAAATTGAAACTTTACTAGAGGGTGGGGGTAATAGAAATAAAGAAAAAAATTAGATTAAGTATGACTGCATATAATTAAAAAGTCCTATGAAAGGGTGTTGCACCCTTGTATAGTAATTATAGTGACTGCAACAGACGTATGTCCAGAATGCTACTTTAACAGATAGGATAAATTTGGTGATTGATACTGAAGCATGTAATAAGAAGAATGCTGAAAAATAAAACTAGGGATGGTGTGGTAAAGCACTCAACTACTAACATGCAAGTCTTAAGCTCAGATCTCAGACAAGTCTGTCTGTGCAGCGCGCAGCATCCACCTAGCTCAGATGAGTACCTGACACAAGGGAAAGTAAAGATAGCTTGGCAGAGAGCTAACCACACCATCACTTCATGTTCAGTGGTCAAGAAACAGATAAACTCTACTTCAGCTGCTCTATGGATGATGGATTGACAGGTCCAAAAGGGAAACTACTTTAATATACTAGGGTCTTTATCAGGCCCTATTGATATTATTTTGGTACAACTAATCAATAGAAAAACCTTAAATTCTTGTAAAAGTTTATTAAATCTTAAGTAAGTTGTACCACATCAGAAGTTACAGCTTCCCTGTCTATCTGCTTATATGAATATATTGGCAATATGCTGTGATTTAAATACGTAATGTTTGTTTTTTGTTACTTTTTATTATTAAATGTAACAATTGTATCCTAAATTATTATGAATAACTATCATGCCTTTTTCATGACATTCTAAATTCACTGCCTTATTAATTAGTATCCCCCCCCCCATGTCAATTGCTGCGCCTTTTGTTTATTATTTAGATCTACTATTTACTAATGTCATAGGCATAATTATCACAAATAATTAATCAAGTTTATCACCAAGCTTCTTTACTTATCATAACCAATAATAGGCCCAGACTTACTTTATCAATCGATACATATTACATTTAGCATTAGTTATACTAAGAAATATGCCTATAACTTATTTATTATTTATATATAGTATAAAGTATAATTTAGTATTAACTTAATTAAGTATAATAAGCCTTAAATCTAAGTACTAAGTAGGTATGTGTGAAATGCTTGACACTAGTTAATGTAAGCCTAAGCTTCTTGCCTGTCGTTTTTAATTGATAACTTGATCAATGTATTTTATCTAGTTTTAACAGTGCCACCCACAATTTAAATTCTTTCCACCTTCGAAAACTACGTCATTGGCATTAGTACGCGTATTTTATCGATAATAGGTAATGCGGTGCTAAACGGACGCCATGGCGTTGTCAAGGCCGAAGCGCTAGCTCGGGGATTTGACATGTATGATAACTCGTTAACAGAAGTAATAAGTGCCATAAAACCGTTATTATAATAATATTTGTTTATTTAATGGACACTTACAACTAATGGCAAGACACTTATAATGTGTTTAATACGTAAACTTATTTAAAATGTGACAGCACCGTACGGGACACGTTCGCGAGATAAACTCATTAGAATTGTGCGATCGATTTCGGCTTTAAGATTGTCATAATGGCAGTAATTTTCTAATTGAAACATATAATACGACTACACTAGAATATCTATATCAAATATTTCTAAAAACTCGATTCCAACAGTGAGATTCGGCATTCTTCGGAAAAGGGCGAGTTTTTATAAAGTCTGCATCAAAAAGTCCGGATGTGGAATACCGAATCGAAACAGCGGAAGTCGGAAAGCCTAGTTGTTAGTACTAGACTCAAGTACTAGAATCTAGTAGTATTGTAATGCTGACTAATTTTGTAATTTATGGTTAGTAGGCCGTTCGGTTCAACGCTTCCGGTTTGTCATTTTCGTGGCATCTCACGGCTCATGCGCTTAAAATGGATTAAAAATCATGTCTATAGCCCGAGTTCCCATCCCCTGTTATTTTATATAAGAATATTCGAGAAAGTTTAGGGGAGATCACTCCCGGTTTATTTACATTGTGTGGGGGAGGGGGGGTAAAAATTGTCAAAAAAGCGTGACGTCATTTATGGATGCCCCCTGTATTGTAATTTTTCTTTTTTTTCAATATAGTTGACATGAATGACTAATAGACCTATTCAGACTTAATAGTGTGCCTCCAAGACCACAACAATTGTTGGAAGGTAGAACTTTTGAACACTTTATTTCAAATTGCAGTAAGCAAATCAATATTAGATCATTCATAAATGGCGTTGCTCTTAAGATAGTAATAACAGCGTGCACAGTGTTTCTTCCAGACTTTTTTCTCCGGGGGAGGGGGGAGCACTTGAAATTTTCGGGGCGTGGACACTGTTAAAAGTATATTTTCTATATAAATTATATAAATTTAATTTCTTTCAAGGGGGGGGGGGGGACGGTAAAATTTTTTCAAAGAGATGCAGGGAAGAAACTCTGAGCATGCACTATTACAGAACAAACATGTGAACATATTATTTCAGATAGAAATTGTGATTTGTGGTGGGGAGAGGTTGAGTAGAATTTAGTTGAGATTACAATACTACTAACAACCCAACACCCCTTTTTTTAAAGAAGATTCCATTAGCGGACACCGCTACCTATAATCATCCGATGCTACTAATATTTAGATACAACATAATCCTTATCATATCATATTACAGTATGAGTATAATACCCAGGTATTATTGATGCAAAATTTCAGTCCCAACCACTTAGTTAGACTTCATTATATGTGATTGTCTTTTTCTTCTAGCATGTATTAACTTGTAAGTTTCTATTTCCATATCCTTAGGCATCTATGTGCTAAGTTTTATCTTTATATCATCAATAACTACATAGATATGCAGTATGAAAAGTGACTTGTGGCAATCATTGTAGAACTGCACCACATGCCTTAATTGGTAATTAAGGTAATTATAAATTCTTTTCCTTTTAATTGATCTTTATTTCACTTGCATATTCCTATTGTCTACACTCTCTAGCATCAATGTTCACATTTTTAACATTATTTGTTTAATAACTTCGTTGTACAAACCCAAAGAAGGGCACTAAATATTTTGCAACTTTACATGAACATATAAGCTGTTTTACCTAAAGCTTTAAAAATTCATATAAAAAAAACTACTGGGCCTAGAAGGATAGTTTTTTTTTTATTTATTAAATGGCAGAACCTCTTCTTGATTATATTAGGTTGTTGCTCGTAGTTTTTGAACTACATTAATTTCAGATAAAATTATACCACACAAAAAAAGGATTTTTTTCCCCACACATCAATACCATTTTTGTGTCTCTAGCTTCATTAGGAGCTAATTTATGTGCTTTTAAAAAATTGTGGGCGTGGCTAAAACAGCTTAGACCTTCGTAGTTCAAGTCAATATTACGCAAGTAAAAAAGTTGGCACATATGGTTTTTTCATTGCATTATCACGGATTAGCATTTTTCAAAAAATTATAATTTTATTGCATCATCCTGTATTTGCATTTTTCGAAAAATTAAAAAATTATAATAAGGCTTATTGCTTCGGTTATACTGGATTGAAGTGATTTATTAAATGAGTAATTAAATGTCACCCTCATAACAGATTGACATTGCGTTAAAAAAATGCAACTTTTAAAATAAAGCTAAATCTAGTTTAATTTTTTAAACTGATTTATTAATACTTAGACTGAATACTAAATAATGTTAATACTATTGTACTATTTTACAACCAGTTTTTCTTTAGAAATGTGTAAGCACATATTACTTATTATAGTAACTTGTTACTTGGGTAGATGAAGTAGAGCAGACCTACACATGCAACACAATAATGGTTGAATAAACATTGTAATACATGTAGATGTAGTGTACTGTACCTGGGGTGGTGGAAATTATGCGACAACACTGTTTAAGCAGTTTTATGTCATGTTTATTTGGATTTTTTTTTAAAGTTGGATAAATAGTAAGCCAATTCCATAAAGTCTAGCTATTTCCAAATACTAATAGTAATTAATACCCATAAAGAAATAGTAAGAGTATGCTTGTGAAAAGCATTTGTAACATAACTCCATGCTAATATTAATAGTAGTGTTTTAATCATAGCTTTGATGCACAGGAATAGAAAGAAATGTTATAAATAAAACAAAGTTTATTCAATAATGAAAAAATGTCAAACCATAACAAGTAACAACACCAGTTAAAACATCCTGGATACATTTTAATAAACCTAAGTTTTAGAATTGCAAAGCATACATGACTAAAAATAGACATCATCAACATCATCAATACGACATAACAGAAGATGAGAAAATTTGGCACTATTCCATTAGCTGAATTATTATAACTGAATTTCCTGTAATTGATGCGACATCAAGATATTAAATTTCATTGTACATAGAGAAGTATTTTATTCTTCTCTTTGCAGCTCTGCTTAAGGAACTACATGCATCTGATAATGCTGATATCCATAGTAAGACAGCAATAACTTTATGCAGATCTTGTAGCCAAACTGAATGACTGCAGTATTTAAAAATATAAAGTAGTTTTTTTTTTAATTTTTGATTTTTATTAAATTGTGTTTAACGTAAACAGTTTACTTGAATGAGCAATTTATTTGTCATTAACAAAATTAATTTAAATGCATAATCCTGAATCCTGTATGGGTTTAAAAAACAAAACAAAAGGGCACCTAAAAATACACTGACTAAAGTAAAAGACACAAGTAGTTTGGTGTAAACATTTAGTCTTTGTTAGAGATGTCAGTCGAAGTATAGAAAATGTACCATAAATCAATGGGACACACATATTTTTAACAAGGTTTTAGTATTATTACCAACTGAAGTTCTACTATTAATAAAATATGAATAAATCTTGGCTTGGGAATCCACCTAAAGCTTTGTCAATTAATAAAAAGTGTTTGAGTAAAATAATATTAATAAGGGTTCAATCAAACTAAACAGATTAGATCCTTAGTTATACTTAGGATACCATATAAATAGACCTATTCCTTTTGCTGATCTGTATGTCAGATATAACTTGATAAATGAATTATGCCCGTTAGCCATAGTGAACTAAGACTTAACCCTGATTCCTCATGATTGCTGTAGCCTATATGGAAAAGAAACACAGTGTCATATATTTAATTTCTACAAGGCATGGAAAAATAAAGGAAAATAGGCCTAATAGATTTTATAGTAAATTGAAAATCTGCTACCAGAATTACAAAACTAAATTCAAATTGCTATTGATTAGGCCTATTATGATATTTAATATTATTTAACTGCAAGTGTATGATTAAATCTAAGTTAACTATGTGTCTGCCAACATGATAAAAAAAAAGCAATATTTTTATGATACATCACTAGATGTTAGGCATTCTTAGGCCTAGTCGTGTTCGCCAGTTCTCGCAAAATTGTTCAACACACTGAAAATAACACGGAAAATGTAAAATACGAACTTCATACTATTTGAAAACATCTTTTAAAGGATTTTTTAAAATTAAGAAACGCTAAGATCATAGAAAAAATCCTCTGAAAATTAATATACTGAATAAATATTATGTAATATTATTAAATTATTAAGAAGTTACTCAAATTTGGCGCAAAAATGGGCTAATGCTTACTCCAGAGTATTTCTTTTAATCCGGAGGTTAATGAGTCTTTTTTTTTTTAAATTATTTTCATGCACGGTGTCACTGAAGTTTTTAATATTTCATATTTCACTTACAAGAGATAATTATCAACAAAAATAAATAAATAAATAAGTACTCACCATGTATTTAAGCACCATGTTCCTACTTAAAATAGAGAATAATTTTCTTTAAGAAATAACGCATAGGGTCTGCAGACCTGTCGGCGACTTTACTAACTACACACCATGTCATAATATGGACAGATGAGCACGCAATACACCTGGATTTGACATGCCCACTAATAAACATGTACAGCAGAAACAAGCCAGTCAGGGCAAAGGTCAACGCCATGATTACCATGGAAAAAAGGCATGCGCGAAAAAGATAACACGCTAATTATATGTAAATTTTATCATTCTGTGTTAAATAGAAACATTTTTACAAAAATGCCTAGCCTATATATACTAGGTATGAGTCTATCGTTTTAGGTACATAAAATCGGCCGAGGCTAGTAATGTGCGAGAAATGTGGCTCATAATATGGCTTTAATACAAGTAGGGGGGGCCTATATTATTATATTTTTGCATCAAATATAATACATAATAAAACCAATAGCAATGTCTAAATATATCAAAGGCCAAAAATTGACTTTAAAAAGCCTTGTTCTTGTTTTAGAGCAAGATTTGCTATATGAACAGCGGCCATCTGTAAATTAGAGTGGTTTCCCCTGAATCTCTAGCTAAAATGTTACCAAAAAAACTAAATTCAACAAGATGGCTTCTAAAGTAAATGAGCTTGGTTACATCTTTATTTATTACTGAAAAGTTTTAATACACTTGTTTAAAAACAGGTACATGAATGGAGGGTTGAAACATTTCTTTAAAACTTTTACAACATAAATCTTTCTAAAAATGTGAAATAATTACAGAAATTTGATGAGTCACACTTTTTTCACATTACTAGGCTCGGCTGATTTTACATACCTAATACGATAGATTACCATATATGATTATATTAGGTACTAGGATAGAATTTTAAAAATTATATGGTTTGATTGCAATACAATGACTGCAAGTAAAAGGAGCAAAAAATTAGAATCACAGAACAGTTTTCCTTTTTGATGTAGCTTTCATGGTTAAAAAGCTATGCTTTTTTTTTTCTATTATAAAAGGTGCATTTTTTAACAAGATTTTTTAAATTTCTGTAATAATTTTTTAGTGTGCACTAAAATGATCATAGCCTGTAAACTACATGGTAGAATCTGTTTAAACTTTCCAGTATCTTTTTTTATCATATATGGAAGCATAATAAACAAAAAAATAAAACATTTATGGTTAGAATTTTTGAACAACAAAAGTTCAACTTGGGACCCCCTATTTTTGAACACGTAGTGCTTTCATACAACCACCGTTTAAATTTTAACTATTTGAAATATTAAGCTCAAAATAACTCAGAAAGAGTAACGATGGGTGTGTCAATGAATAATATAAAAATATTGATCATAGCTTGAAAGGTTTCTGTATATCATGATGCAAAGCTGATAAATCATGCGATTCTACAAAACCGAAGTCTGGTTTATGTGAAATACTAAAATTATGACAAATTTAAACTACTGAGCATTTAAGTCCCAAAATTTGCTTAACTTTAGATAACTCTATAGGCCTACTACAAAAGAAAGAATCAAAATATTGGTTGTGACTCCATCTGTTTGCCAGAAATATATGGTTGAAGAAGGTACCCCCCTTTTAAAAAACCAAAACTTTCGCACAACCTGAGTGTGAGTTCTATCTATCTATTAAACATATCAAGCACAGAGCTTGCTCGAATGAAGTTTTAAAAGTGTGTCTATTACTAAATAATTATCATAAAGGTATGTTTTTCTTTTCATTGAGCTGAAGAATTGATACAACTCAATTTGTAATTATATAAATGATTATCATTATCATTGTTCCAAAAGTGAAAATATATATGTTGATGTTACTTTGATGGCAAATCATTTAAGACCCTTAGTCTGATTCAGTGATTGTAATCAAATGAAGGGATGACTTAGTCCGATGATAGAATTCCCAAATGTTAACCATAAGCCTCAAGTTCGGATCCAGGACTAAGGTTGATAGGACATCCCCGAGTCCACCCAGCTGTAATGAGTACCTAATATACTTTATGGAAATTGAAGACAGCTAGGCATAGTCATAACCACATTACTTTTAAATGAAGATTTAGTTTAATTTAGGTTTATAATAATGTTTCTTATTTATACAAAAATATTTAGCATTTCTAAAGAACATTTGTCATTTTGAAAGAAATATTTTTTTCTTCACTGCTGGCTCAAATGCTGTCCATTGCTGGGCTTCATTTAATTTTAATCTCAATAAATATGCTTGTAATTTTATTAGAGTAAAAAAAAAATAATGATGAATAATTTATATATAGGAGTGCACCAAAGAGCTTTATTATAATTTATATAGTTCTACATATGGTTTCTGTTCTGCTTTAGAAGTGCATATTCTGTCTGGAATATAAAACATACTTAATTTGCTTAACAGTAAATAAAATATAACTAGCAAATAAAAACACATATATAATTATAAAGCAAAATAAAAATGTAGGCAAGTATAAACGATGTTTGCTAAATTTGTAACAAGAAGCTGCATATTGGTTATCCTCATGCATCAAAAAATACTCAGACAGGGCAATATTTAAGGTTCTGACAAATCGATCCCGTTAAAAAAAAATATCCTTGTGACATACGGCTCCCTTGAAAATATCCCACCACAAAATGTTACTGTCCATAGGACAGACCTCCCGACATTGAAATCCACGATAAAACCGACATTGAAATCCCCGACTAAACCGACACTGAAATCCCAGACAAAACTGACATTAAAATCCCTGACAAAACCAACACTGAAATCCCTGACAAAACCGCTCATCAATAAGAACAATGTACGTGGCTAAGCGCTCGCGTCATAAACGCTCACGATAAAACAGCTTTGTCGCCCAGGCTACAGTAATAACACAAAAAATGCACGGCGATACAAAGTTTACATTCAAACACTTGCGGTGAGAAACTTAAAATGTAGTAAGGTTTTTGTACCTATCAGCGGGGAAAAAAAATTTGTCCATAAATGACGTCACCAAGTTGTATCACCCACCAATGTTAACTAAGTTACATTTATTCATTTTAGTTTGTTGGTATGCTTTTCTTAAAAAAGTAGATTTTTACTGTGACAAATTATATAGAGAAAAACAATATGGCTTATAAAAAAAGGAGTCGCCCTTTGATTAATAAAGGCAAAAGACAAAGAAAACATGATTATATGATTCCCTACTGAGATTCAAGCTCTGGGGATATGGGTTAACAGATGTGCACTGTGCCACCCAACCATGGTGTGCTAAGGCATGAACACTGTTTTTAACTATTAATCTATTCATAAACTTCTAATTGATAATAGACACTTCAGTTATTAAAACAAATGTTACCATAGCTCAATAAGGCCTGTTTGATCTTTTTTATGACTTAAAAAATTCTATGGTGTTATGAAATATTTATACATTTTTTAAAAATGCAATCAATATATTTTCAAAAAGAAATTTTAATTTGGTTTTCTAATCAAGATTATTTTTATTTCAGTTTTTGTGCAATAATTCATCAATCTAAAGCTATGGAAAACACAAACAACACTAATGGTATAGTTTGGGAGAGTTTAGTTATGGCTAAACAGGAATTGTGTGACGAAATCATTACATTTATGGACATGAAATCAGATGAAACATCAGCTATTTCAAGTTCAGAAGAAGTACAAACAAATATATCAACACTCTTTTCAAATTCTGAAGATATAAAGCAAAATGTATCAACACAATTTTCAACTGTTAAAGACAAATACTCGGAGGAAACAATGCAACTTTTAGCTTTAGAAGATAAAAATATTTATAAAACAAAGCCTTTGTTTAATTTAGAAGAGATGAAACAAGATAACCCAACATTTTCATCTTCTGAAGACATGAAACCAAATCTATCAACAGCATTTTCAATTTTTGAAGATATAAAACCTGAGATATTAACAATTTCATCTTTGGAGAGTGAAAAACAAAATGGTTTCAAAGCACAGCAACAACTTTCTTCCCCACCAGATTCAACTGATTTTAAAGAAAATTTAGCAGTTTTAAAATCAGATCTTCAAAATGAATTAAAAGAACTCAAGTCATTGCATACAAAATTGATTGATAATCTCCCAACAGAATATCTGGTTAGCAATAAGGGACTGAAGACATACAAGTGTGATATGTGTTGTCAAAGATTTTCCCATTTTGATCTTGTTAAACAACACATAAACATTCACACAAGGGTGAATCCATATGGTCATGATTTTCATCAGCAAGAAGTTGTTATGATCAGTCAGGGTGAACAGATTAACAAAATGAACCTAGAACAGGTATACAATAAGTCTAGTTTGTCTAAAAAGCTCACTACAAAGTCTAGTTTATCCACACACACAAATATTCATTCTGGAATTAATAAGCCATATGAATGCTATGCGTGTCATAAAAAATATCATAATAAAAATTATTTAGCAAACCATATAAAGATACATTTAGGAGAAAGTCCATATGAATGTGGTGTATGTCATAAAAAGTTTGCAAAGAAGAGTAATTTATCTAGCCATAAAATAGCTATCCATTCTAGTCTCAAGCCACATAAATGTGGTGTTTGTCATAAAAGTTTTGCTCTAAAATATGCATTATCTATACATAAAAATATTCATTTACCAGAGAGACCATATGAATGTGATGTGTGTCACAAAAAATTTAATTACAAAGGTAGTTTATCTAAACATAAAAATATTCATTTACCAGACAGACCATATTATGAATGTGATGTGTGTCACAAAAAATTTAGTCATAAACGTAATTTATCTACACATAAAAATATTCATTTACCAGAGAGACCATATGAATGTGATGTGTGTCACAAAAATTTTAATCATAAAGCTCATTTATCTAGACATAAAAATATTCATAAACCAGATAGACCATATGAATGTGATGTGTGTCACAAAAAATTTAGTCAGAAAGGACATTTATCAGAACATAAAAATATTCATTTACCAGATAGACCATATGAATGTGATGTGTGTCACAAACAATTTAATCATAAACGTTATTTATCAGAACATACAAATATACATTTACCAGAGAGACCATATGAATGTGAGGTGTGTCACAAAATTTTTTATCATCAAGGTCATTTATCAAAACATAAAAATATTCATTTACCAGAGAGACCATATGAATGTGATGTGTGTCACAAAAAATTTTATCATAAAGATTATTTATCAAAACATAAAAATATTCATTTACCAGACAGACCATATGAATGTGATGTGTGTCATAAAAAATTTTATCATAAAAGTGACTTATCAAATCATAAAAATATTCATTTACCAGAGAGACCTTATGAATGTGAGGTGTGTCACAAAAAATTTAATCATAAAGGTTCTTTATCTACACATAAAAATATACATTTACCAGAGAGACCATATGAATGTGATGTGTGTCACAAAAAATTTAATTACAAAGGTAGTTTATCTAAACATAAAAATATTCATTTACCAGACAGACCATATTATGAATGTGATGTGTGTCACAAAAAATTTAATTCTAAACGTGATTTATCAAAACATAAAAATATTCATTTACCAGACAGACCATATGAATGTGATGTGTGTCATAAAAAATTTTATCATAAAAGTGACTTATCAAATCATAAAAATATTCATTTACCAGAGAGACCATATGAATGTGATGTGTGTCATAAAAAATTTAGTCTAAAAAGTTCTTTATCTACACATAAAAATATACATTTACCAGAGAGACTATATGAATGTGATGTGTGTCATAAAAAATTTAATTATAAAGTTAGTTTATCAATTCATATGAATTTTCATTTACAAGAGAGACCATATAAATGTGATGTGTGTCACAAAAAATTTAATCATAAAAGTGATTTATCAAAACATAAAAATATTCATTTACCAGAGAGACCATATGAATGTGATGTGTGTCACAAAAAATTTAATTACAAAGGTAGTTTATCTGAACATAAAAATATTCATCTACCAGACAGACCATATTATGAATGTGATGTGTGTCACAAAAAATTTAGTCATAAACGTAATTTATCTACACATAAAAATATTCATTTACCAGAGAGACCATATGAATGTGATGTGTGTCACAAAAATTTTAATCATAAAGCTCATTTATCTAGACATAAAAATATTCATAAACCAGATAGACCATATGAATGTGATGTGTCACAAAAAATTTAGTCAGAAAGGACATTTATCAGAACATAAAAATATTCATTTACCAGATAGACCATATGAATGTGATGTGTGTCACAAAAAATTTAATCATAAACGTTATTTATCAGAACATACAAATATACATTTACCAGAGAGACCATATGAATGTGAGGTGTGTCACAAAATTTTTTATCATAAAGGTCATTTATCAAAACATAAAAATATTCATTTACCAGAGAGACCATATGAATGTGATGTGTGTCACAAAAAATTTTATCATAAAGATTATTTATCAAAACAATAAAAATATTCATTTACCAGACAGACCATATGAATGTGATGTGTGTCATAAAAAATTTTATCATAAAAGTGACTTATCAAATCATAAAAATATTCATTTACCAGAGAGACCTTATGAATGTGAGGTGTGTCACAAAAAATTTAATCATAAAGGTTCTTTATCTACACATAAAAATATACATTTACCAGAGAGACCATATGAATGTGATGTGTGTCATAAAAAATTTAATTCTAAACGTTATTTATCAACACATAAAAATATTCATTTACCAGAGAAACCATATGAATGTGATGTGTGTCACAAAAAATTTAATTTTAAACGTCATTTATCAAAACATAAAAATATTCATTTACCAGACAGACCATATGAATGTGATGTGTGTCATAAAAAATTTTATCATAAAAGTGACTTATCAAATCATAAAAATATTCATTTACCAGAGAGACCATATGAATGTGATGTGTGTCATAAAAAATTTAGTCTAAAAGGTTCTTTATCTACACATAAAAATATACATTTACCAGAGAGACTATATGAATGTGATGTGTGTCATAAAAAATTTAATTATAAAGTTAGTTTATCAATTCATATGAATTTTCATTTACAAGAGAGACCATATAAATGTGATGTGTGTCACAAAAAATTTAATTCTAAATGTAGTTTATCTAAACATAAAAATATTCATTTACTAGAGGCCATAGGAATGTGACATTTGTTTATGTACACACACACACAAAATTTCACTCAGGACTTCAAGCCACCTGAATGTGTTGTTGGTCATTAAATTCTCTTTCACGGGGATTTTTAATTATCTGTAAATAAAATTGTTGCTTTTGTACTTATATCACATTGTGTAGGCTGAAAACACACCATTAATGTTTGTCATACAGGATATAATACTCTTCATTCATAGTATTATTTGTCATACAAAGTATTACTAATGATTAAAATGCTATCTAGACATTTCACACAGAGGAAGAAAAACTACATGGAAAGAATGGATGTCATGAATCTCCATAGCACATTTATTATCTTGTACAAGGTGTTATGGCTAGCTTTGTTCAGGTTTTTTGGAAAATATGATGGCTAAATTCTTACCCTTTACATTACCAATACAATTAATACTAACCACTAATAATAACCACTAGTAATACTCTATATTTTTCTATATTGAATATATTCCATTTTATGCAATTCTAAATTTTGTATAATTATTTAACCCATTAAGTTGAACATAATTATGATAATTAAAGTGAGGAACAAAATGTATTAATTAATGTAGCTGTAAATGTTTAAATTTTTAAGACATAAGATACAATTTATTATTATTATGATTATTAGTGATGTTTAATTTATCTTTTTTTTTAAAGACATAATAAATATTTTCAGCTATTAATTAATCAGAAAGCGTTTATTCCATTTTTATTCCATTTTGTTAGGGTTATTATGATTGGATAGGCTGTTATGATATATAGATCCAGACCAATATATATATATATGTTTATATATATATACACACATATATATATATATAAATATGTATATATATATATATATATATACACACATATATATATATATATATATATATATATATATATATATATATATATATATATATATAAATGAATGTGTGTGGGTTTGTTTGTTGATTTGTCCTTATGGCATTACTACACCTTTCACATATCGCCATCACACTTTGGGGAGTTGTTGAATAGGTTTCTATCTGTGTTGAAAGGGGGGGGGGGAAAGAAGATTCAATTTCCCAAGGGCGGCGATGCGATTTGTCTCTATAATACGGTATATAAAAAGTCTTGATGGGGTTAGACACCGTTCATCCTAGTGCCATAACACTTTGGGGAGTAAAACTGCAACAGGCGCAGCTCACTAAATTAAATCAGGCGCAAAGGCGCCTACGTTCGTGCGATGTATAAATTGGGGTATTATAGTATTTTATCGAATGATATTGTTTGCTAAACTTTGCAATGACTGTCTTTCGCAATTAAAAAAATATATTTCGGCCAATTCTAATTGAATAAAATGTGAACGATTGTCCAGTTAAGTCTGTAGAGCATTGGGGTCGCGAAGGGCTTTCTGGGGGGGGGGGGGGGGGGTCGCGAACTGGTAGACTAAACCCTAGCAATGAAAAAAAAATATTTAGAAATTAGAAGAATATCTGAAATTCAGCTTTACTAACATCTCAGGAAATGAAATCAAGAAAAACAATGCGTACTGTGCAAAGTTGATCTCAGCCATGAATCAATGAAACCTTCAAAACTTAAACGTCATTTTGAGACGAATCATTCGGTACACCAAAAAGACATGGAGCTCTTTCGTCGGCATGAAGTTAGCAGTGTTTCTTCCAGACTTTTTTCTCGGGGTGGGGGGGCGAACTGGAAGAAACTCTGGAAGTTAGTTGCAAATGTCAGAGACTTAATCGAACAAGTTTTCTAAAATGAAACACAGCATTAGTGAAATCATAAAATGAAGTCGCGATAGAAATTGCCAAGCAAAAAAAAAAAAAAATAGGATAAAATTTCATCAAACCCTGCATGTTGAAGATGGTGAAATTAATTCTTGAAGATTCCAGTGCAATAAAGATGCAACAAAAGTATCTCTGTCTAATAATACTACTCAACGGCTTATAGCAGCTATTTCCTTGGATAGTTAAAGAACAAATTTTGAATGAAATCAAGCTTTCACCATTGTTTGATTTTCAAGTTGATGAATAAACAGACGTAAGTTCGTATTAGCAGTTGCTTGCCTTTGTAAAATATATTCGTTTAAATTATAGGAGAGAAGAGTTGCTTTTTAGTGAAAATATCATGGAGAGAATACTTTGGCTGTCAATAGAAAATATTGTGAATCGCGTTTTTGAATTGAAAGATAAAATAAATCAAGATGTTCTTAGAAGATCAACAGAAACAAGATATTTTGATATACTTTGACGACAAAGAGTGGTTGGAAAGAGTAGCATACCTAGCAGATATATTCGAACATCAACATAAGCTTAACCTGAATAATCAGGGAAAACAAACGAATAGTATCTGTTTTCATAATAATCTCTTTGAATTTTTATCAAAACTGCAAATTTGGCGAAGAAAAATACGTATTGTAAATATTGTCTGCAATGTGGTACATGTATCTGATTGTGAGATATATAAAAAATTGAAAGAGGATTCTGGGCATCTTGAATCTCTAGAAAACGAACAGTGGCGTTATTTTCCCTGTGTTGAAAGAATAAGAATCTGCCTTGACGCGTTACGTATTCTCTGCTTCCCTTGCTCAGTGTTTCTTCCTGACTTTTTTTCCGACAAGGTAGGGGGAGGGGTGACGGGGGATTTTCAAAAATGCTCCAATTAAAAACAAAACAAAGAAATAAATTAGGTTGGCGTTAACAGAAACTCAACCGCGAATGTTGAGGCTAGTTAATAGCATGCAATTTCACTCATCGTATTAAAACAGTTATCAAGAATAATTTATATTGAAAGTCTACTGGAAAATTTTATTTAAGCGCTTATAAATTTCCTTACTAATTTTTTAATTCTATGAAGGTCGCGGGTCACTTACTTTTTTTAAAAGGGGTCACCACTTGAAAAAGTTTGGGAACCACTGTTGTAGAGAATCGTATTTTTTTAGAACGCGGTGCCAGGACGGATTACGTTTGTTATATAAAATAGGAGGCCTACAATTGTACATTGCAATATCAGTTTGATAGACGATTCTTTGTTTAGTTGACTCCCGCTGATTGCGTCGACTTCGCAAATAGCTCAAGGTTTAACTCAAGGACATACTACTCACTTTAACCTGGATTCCAACTGGAGACTTTCGGTTTAGCAGTCGCGCTCTGATGACCCATTAAATGGAATGCAATGATATGTTGATTACTTTAAGTCATCAAATGAGTGGTGAGAACGTGGATCTTGATAGATGATCGAAATGTTGAAACGCTTACTTAAGAGATGCTAAAACCATCCGAAAGTGCAGGTAAAAATATGGCTTCCAAAGAGACTGAAGAACAATTATCATAATAGAGTGCGGCACTCGAGTTTGTGGATTCTAATCATAAAGACAGTCACAGTAGTATTGATTTTCGCCAGTTATGTTTCGTATTTTGTCTAATACTTACGGACAGATAATCAAGGGATTTTAGTTAATGCATTAGTTAACGCAGACGCGTAGCTAGGGGAGGGGGAGGCCACCCCGGGCGCCGACACTAGGAGGCGCCAAAAGGGGTGGACATTTTTTTAAAGTTGATTTTATGCTGCAGTTTTTAATTATAAACAGTCTAAGTTAAGAAATGTATTGGCTACAAGCCTTTAGAATTCTTATTTAACTATTTTTTTTTTAATCTTGATAGTGTAACTATAAAATATGTAACCTTTAGAAACAGTGACCGGCAAAAATCGTAAAAAGTTATATTAGATTGATTACTTGATTAACGTTACCACTTATGAAATAAACCGGGAGTAATCTCCCCTAAACTTTCTCAAATATTCTAATACGAGAAAAATGGCCCGTTGATGAATGATACAATGGGCGCTAGGTTGATAGTGCTGTCTCTTTTCTTTAAACAAAAAAAAAACGACATTGAAAACAGATTTGTATCCAGAATCGACATGGTAATCGGATTTATTCTTGATCTACACGTAGTTATCGCGCATTTATACTAAATATAGTCGTAGCCATACCCCTAAATCATGCACCTAATCTCAATCATGACGAAAGTCGTATTTAGAGTTCTTTCAGGC